AGGACTAATCATGAAATATAAGTTTAATCTTCTCTCGCGACTTTAAATTTTTAATGGAACGGATAGTAGCATTAGTTTTTTTTTTTTTGGGGGTCTAATAGTAGCAATGGAATCAAATGTGTTGGCATTAAGAAGAAAAATACATTCAAATAACTACATTTTGTAAGTTATCCACATTTTCGTTACTTTATTTGAATCAATTGTTTTGTATTTGATGCTCTTGGATTTGTGCTATCATGTGCAGCTAGACACTTGGCATCATTTGATTGGTTTTGTATATCTTTATAAGCAGAACCTGTGTAATCGACACCATTAAGGAAATGAAATACAAAAGTTAAATAAAATCTTCATTTTCTTCTTCGTTTCTTAGCTCTAAGTTTTTCCTGCTCTTGCTCACAATGGCCACCATTACAACTGATCGTTCTTCTCAAGTAAAAGCTTTCGAGGAGAGCAAGACCGGCGTAAAAGGCCTAGTTGATTCCGGAATCACAGAGATTCCGGCTATCTTCCGTGCGCCTCTGGATGCTTTAACAACCCTAAAACCACCGCCAACACCAACGCCGCAGCTCACGATCCCGACCATCGATCTGAAAGGAGGAGTGTACTCCAAGAATCAAGACTCGGCCACACGGCGAAGCGTGGTGGAGAAGGTAGGAGATGCAGGTGAGAAATGGGGATTCTTTCAGGTGTTCAATCATGGGATTCCGCTTGACGTGCTGGAGAAGATAAGAGAAGGGATTCGCGGGTTTCACGAGCAGGACAATGAGTCCAAGAAACCTTTGTACTCTCGCGATCACACTAAAAAATTGCTTTACTACAGCAACGTCGATCTCCAAAACGCTCGGGCCGCGAGTTGGAGAGATACCCTCGGTTGCTATATGGCCCCTGATCCTCCCAGTTTAGAGGACTTGCCCGCAGTTTGCGGGTAAGGTTTCCATACTAACTGCGTTAAGCTGGTTTATGCAGGGTTGATCTTTAAATTTTACTAAATATTTTTTTAGTGTTTTTGAGAAGGGAAGTTTACTAGAATGACCTTGTCAAGCAAAAATTTGGATTAGAATGACCTTTATCTTTGAATATTACTAGAATGGACTTGAAATTTTTTTAATTCCTATGTTAACCTTATTTTATTTGAAGACAAAAAACGTATTAACGAAACTGCCATTAATGAGGCCGAAATTTGTTCCCGCCAAAATGAAATAAGTCTACCATTCTYTGATGYTAGACTTATTAAACGTCTYGTAGACTTATTACGGTGAACGCGATGGTAGACTTATTTATAGTTGTGGTAGATTTATTAAATGTGGTAGACTTATTTGTAGTACTGGTAGACTTAATATTGAGATCGATAGACTTATTTGTAATAGTAGTAGATTTATTAAATGGTCGGTAGACTTATTACGGTTCAGGCAGTGGTAGACTTGTTTA